CACACACACACACACACACACACACACACACACACACACACACACACACACACACACACACACACACACACACACACACACACACACACACACACACACACACACACACACACACACACACACACACACACACACACACACACACACACACACACACACACACACACACACGTATATATATATATATATATATATATATATATATATATATATATATATATATATCTATATATATATATATATATATATATATATATATATGCATATATATATATATATATATATATATATATATATATATATATATATATATATATATATATATATATATATATATATATATATATATATATATATATATATATATATATATATCAGATTTTATATACTGAATTCTGTTATCTTAATCGAGCCGAAGAACTGGACGTAGTCAATAGTTGCTACGGGTAACACGTGACTCATCTGACAGCAGTAGCTGCCTGCCGTGTAGACCACAAAGGCCTCAGTTGTGATGAGGACGTCGATGGTGGTGTCGGTGTTGAGCGGAAGCGGGTGGTCGGTCAGCTGGACACTGGTGTTGTAGGACTTCTTGATGCGGTTCTGCAACGACAACTTCTGAGTGAAACTGGTGTCGTTCAGGTTGATTTCCAGATGTAGGTGGCAGTAGTCGTACTTGGCCGAACAGATGTTGAGGATGACGTTTTTGGTGAGATAAATAAGAGACATCTTAATCTGTGGATAGAAGGTAAAGAAGGGTGGAAATAGTAGACGATTAGGTCTAGACTTAAAGTTAGAATTATGACCATTACTTGCTGAAATGTTTTACAAATTTTGAAAATATCATGTAAAAGATGAAGCCACTTGTCTTTTCTTCTTCTTTTCGTCCATCGTAACATGACGAGGAGGAGGGGGGGGGGGGAGGATTAAAGAACACCCCAAACATCGTTTTCCCCCGAGTATAAAGAAATAATGTATGACAAAATCTTATGTGCTAGTTCTGTCTTCGTTAACTCCAACCTCAGCCTGCTATTGTTTTTACTTGATGTGATTACTTATAAAGTCCTATGATGTTATTCAAATATAATTGATATTTAAACGCTTGCTTTGAGGAAAGTCAACACAGGCATTGTGTCTGTAGAAGACTTCCTTCTTCTTCGTTCATTGTAATGTTGGACATGATTTCCTCAAACACAATTAAATATTACGTGTCAACAATTTACGACTCAGATTTCAGCCTGCTTTTCTTTTAGGATTCGCTTCCACAGCCTTTGTATAGCCAAGAACAAACTACAAGACAGCAGTTGCCCGGGTATTCGAACTCGCGAATTTATCGGTATAACATCCTTGAGCTTTACTGACACCTCCACGTCGGCCCCTTGTAGAAGACAATTCGTTATACATTTATTTCTAATGAACGATTCAATAATTGCGCACACATTCCAACTCTACCTAGTTATTACTGGTGAAAAAGGGGGTCGGCGTGGTCGAGTCGGTAAAAATGATTTTTGAAGAAACTGAAACTGTCAATTACAATAGTTTCTAGCGACGAGAAAAATCAATAGGTGAATCAATTTTATAATGAAAGATACTCATACTAATGAATATAAAAATGTATTCTATTAAACCTACCACTCTGTTTAACATATTTGTGTTCTTGATCACTGAATCGACCAGGGTGTTGTTCCCTGTTGTGTTCCTCAAAACTACCACCCTGGGGTAGCCGACGAGCGAGTCAGGATAGGAGCCAAGAGAGGTGATGTTGCCACAAATGGCGCACTGGTAGGTCAGGCTGTTGTAGATGTACGCCGTACACAAATCGTCTGACAAGCAGACGACGGCACAGCTCAACGGTGAAGGTGTACTGGGCAGGTTGACCGCAGGACAACCTGTAGGTTGTAAACCTGTGTACAGCGTGTACACTTTTTCACGTACACTTGTACACATACATCCGGCAAATAAAAACAGAGCTAGAAGTTTGAATACGCCAGTTGGGGTTTTTAATTTCATCTTGGTTGAATTGATCACAAGGACTAAATTGTTATAACAAGCAAGTTTAGAAACAAATTATGCTATAAAAACAATTAACACAGTGCAAATGAGTTTTCAACGCAGTAACAAAAAGCACGTCATGTTTAACATTACACGACAGCAGTTCAATAATTCTTCCAATATACACTGCACCATCGTCGTGTAGAAAGTTCCAAATGTAGGCTATAGCATGTTATATTTCTTTACATTAGTCATTCGAAACACAATTTCAAAGGCGTATCCTATGTTTTGAAATCAAATTTAAAAGTAAAGTAACATTATTTACTGTTGTTGCCATATATTTAACCACGCACATATTAATATAAGGTTGATTTGTATAAACGTTGTCTAATATTGTTTTTCAATGCTTAGAATAATACAACATAATTTTTCAAGGATAATTTGTAATTTAAAACTGGTTGCAATATTTACAGAAGGTTTAAATTATTTAAACACAATCTCATTTTAAAATAATCTTATCCTTTTATACTAGAAAGCTCTTGTAAGCGGCCTATGTTTAGGTCCCATGAGGGGCAACATACTAGCCTAACCTTTATCCTTTTTCATTTAAGCATAATTTTCGTTTTGTGATTTCTTCCTTTAGGTATTACATTTGTAATAATCTATGTATTCACATTTTAAAATACTCAATCACAGTTAACTTGAGATATAAATTATTTCTTGATTACATTTTTGCAACTTCCGTTGTTGATTTTACTTGATTGCGTTTTCATTGCTAACATGGACAATTATAAACTACGTTTTTGGCCGTAGTTTTATAATTTCATTGATCCATTACTTCTTCACTATACACATATCAACTTTTGTTATTATTTACGTTGTTGTTTTTCGTTTTTCGTTTAATTAGCTAATAACTTATTTCAAAATTTCTAGCTAAAACAATTTAATAAATTTTATTACAAACATGAGGTTGAAGCTGTGAAGATGACAATAACATTTTGATTAAACTTTTTGGTTTAAAATATCTTGTAGGTATTAGACGCCGCTGCAAATATCGAAAAACAGAAATTTCAAATGCCATCAGAAACATTTACTGAAGCAAAGCGCTGGTAGGAACGAACAGAAATCGATATCGGCGCCCAAAACATTATTATAATTCATGAAGTACTTGGTTTGTTTTTGTTTTACCCAACGCTTAAGCGTTCTGAAGATGAGAAAACATAAACAGGCAGTAGTTTGTAGTCCTAAATGTGCACTGTGTCTTTGAAAGAGATCTTTCGTTAAATCATTGATGTTCTTGTGAACTTTAAGATTATGATCACATACGCGTAAAACCCTCAACGGTAGAGTTCAAATAGATTAAGGCTGGTTTCCATGCTGGGAATAATGGCAATACTGTCTGCGCAGAAATACAATAAAACGTATTGAAAACAGCCAAGTAACGGAGGCCTATAGTTCACAGCCATAAAGTAGTTAGTCGTCCATGTATCACTTGTAGCTATTTTATTCACATCCACCGCTCTCCTCTTGTTCCTCATTACAAAATGTGGGAAGCCGTCCCTAAATTACTTCACAAAATGAACGCCATCGCTGTTTGCTAGAATATCCTAAACTAAAATGTGTATGCTGGTTATTACTTTTATTTTTATATATTACAAGCTTTGTCACTTCCTCCCTCAACCTAACACCTTTCTTTTCTTTTCCTTTTCTTTCCTCAACCCAACACAAACCAACCCAAAACTCAACCCCACCCTCAAAACCAATGCCCTCCCTCACACCAACCCCTTACCCTCAGTCCAAGACAACCCCTCACCTCAACCCCACCCTCAAATCCACTCCACTCCTTCAAACCAACTCACTTGCTCACCCCACCCCCTCCGTACAGTACACCTTCACAAAACATGAATTTTACTTACACCTGGATGTGTGACGTCAGGCATGGATGACTCGATATGTGGGACAGGGATATAAGAAGGTCAAGGACGTGTGTGGATAAAGGGTTCATTGTGTGTGTATGTGTATGTGGAGGGGGGTACAGTATTTATTGGATTGATTGTTAGGGTGTAGCTAATGTCGGTAATACTGTTGGAGGTAGGCACTAGTTAGGGTTTATGGAGTGGTTAGGGTGATAGTTTAGATGATCGAGGGTAGTTATGGGTTGTCACTAGTTAGAAGTTAGTTTTGTGGTAGTTATGGGGTAGTAATGAGATCATTAGAATGGAAAGTAGTGGGTAGTTTGTGGTTTGCTTGAGTGGTGGTGGTATCGAGTCCTAACTGCTGATGGCCTTGATTGTGTAGACTTTGACCATCCGGCTTCTGTTGATCCGGATAGTGACTTCAGGATTTGTAACTCATACCGTAATATAAACACAGGAACAGTTGATTACAGACTACCATAACGATGACAGGACAAATGATCTTAGGACAAAAGATCCAAGGACAAAATATATCTGGAAAAATGGAAAAACGATCTCCCACAAAAAAAAATATCTCAGACACAATTTTTCACGGCAAAACATTTATCGTACTAAAAGAAATTTTAGTCAATTTGAACATTTTTCAAATTGATTATTAAAAAGTTATTATTTGCATTTTAAACCTTAGTCGCATAGGATTGTTACATTTTAGAATCATTGCAAATTGCAATATAATCATAATTATTTGTCCTGAGATCATTTGTCATGGAACCACAACTACTCATGATAGTGTTCTACACATAACATTCACGAGAAGAAGAAGATTTAATTTAAAAATATCATTCTTATATTGAAGAAGATAAAGAGTAAAAATAGAAACCATCTTGTAACAAAATATCGATGTATCTTAATACATGTGCATTTTAAAACGATACAACAATCACTCTAAAAGTACATGAACCTGCACTACAAATAATTCAGCGTAGCCCAAAGGTTTCTGGAAAATACTAAACATAGGGACTACGCAGTTAGATACTGGTGTGATCAATATGTGATAAGGGTGTGTTATCTTAACGCTACTGTTCCCACATTGAGTTCAGACCAACACGCTGTTATCGACTAAACAAAAACAGTCGCCGCTATACGTACTGTATCATCATATCGATGTAATTTCCAGTTTTGGATTCTGAACACTTTTTTCAACCAAATCAACATTGACGAGGTTTATTTCTAAAAGAGGGTGAGTTAACTGATTAATTAACTAATTTGAAAGTAACTCTCGGGCAGATGAGGTTCAATAGCTGGGGACATCAACTCTTCTAGGAGACACAACTTCAAGATTAAACAACTGCTGCCTTGTAGTTTGTTCTTGGTTGTAAGCAAATCAAAGAAAGGCAAGTAGAAATTGGAGTTAACGACCTATATGGCGCAAAATAGGTTGACACAATTGTTTATTACATATCTTTTCATTTTATTCATTCTTAAAATCCTACTTAAAAAGTTATGTGAGTCAGAGTAGATGGACAAATAGACTGTCAAATCTATATTATCCGTTCTTTCTGTTCAACACAATTTAAGGATATAATCTTGTTCCTAATAACGACATAAAGAACTATTTTCCCGAAACGTATGGCCTTCTCATCTAACATAGATAATAAGATGTTAATATGTTTTGAAATACCTAATTGTGTCTTTGTCTATGGTGGGTTGGTGGTAGCTTTAAAGTGTTACAAAATATGATGATTAAAGATCTATGTGAAGGCTATATAACATTATATATAAAGTGAAGATTACACTCTAGACCTAGCGATACATTAGGTAGATGAAGTATAGTTTATATTTATATGTTTCTTGACCTCGGCATGTGTAGGGATAGTGTGGTCAGTACAATGACCAGCCGCCTTTACTTTCCCTAAAGTTAGTTAGGTGCCCATCAGAGCTGGATAGATTCAGGTACGTTCTACTGACTTGGACACAGATTCGAACTCGAGACTTTCGGGTTAGCTGTCTCACACTCTACCTCTAACAATACACCTTTCCCCGTAGAACACACACTCTAAACCAACAAAGTTAATCGAACTAAAAGACCACGCCTATGTGTCGAATCTCCCACGGGATTTCAAAGCTATGTGTTTATGTAAAAAATGTTTGACAGAGAGACCGGGTAATGGGGTGGTCTAGTTAAGTGGTAGAGTGAGACAATACTTCTAGATTACCCCGTATAGCGCGAGATCGAATCCCACCTCGTGTGTGGAAGTTGTTCACATTTTGAACTCTAACCTTTGTGAGAAAAACGTGGTTAGAATTAGTTACACTAGTCTATAAATCCTATAGCCCTCTAGGTCTGGCGACGGTACACTGTGGTGTGAGTACTTCTAGCAGCAGTACTTGTATTCACAGCGTGAGCACTAGACTCAAACAGTGGATTGGAGGCTATCGAGGCTATATTAATCGAACAATATATTTAAATATATTAAATTAATCAATTAAATCACTAATCAAACTACAGCTTAATTTTTAGTATAATTTTATAATTTCTTTTTGCCATTTTAATGTTGGTCTATTTTGGTTTATGCTGAAAACTCATGTGTCATAGCATTCTGATAAAGAATGTTAAAAATAACCTGCAACGTAATCTGAAAGTGACATAGCCACAATCATAGATCTGTTATCCTGTTTAATTAGCTGTGTTTGATAGCTTAATGTACAGATTTATATTCTGAAACGTATGGTGTAATATTGATGACATAATTTGTACTTTAAGGTCATGTATATACATGTATACATACATTATAATAATATGGAAAACGTGGGCAGTTCATATTCCCTAAAATATTTTTTAAAGTCACGTCCAACAATGTTTGTTTACATTGCAACAACCTTTGACAACTATATCAATAAAAATATGAATTTAATTCGTAATTATTAATATCAAGCTTAAATGAAAATTAAATCAAACAATAGTTTTTGATATAAATTTTATTGAATTAAAAAAAATACATATTTCCCCTCCTTAATTTCTATGAAAACATTCAAACACACACACACAAACACACACGCGCACACACACGCATGCACACACACACACTCACACACGCACTCACACACATGCACACACACACGCACTCACATACGCACGCACACTCGCTTGTATATAAAAGAAACGGTCAGTAGATTTTGCTCATTAGCTAGGAAAACTGGAACAAAGTTAAAAACCTTGTAATTCAATCACCAAAGTTAGCCAGGTTTTTGCTTCCACCCTAGTGCATGGCACCCTTATTAGACAACAAGGTCTGTTAGGTAACGCGTTGACCTCTGGGTGAGCAAGCTAGATCAAGCGTTCCTTGTTCAAAAGTTGTTTATCTATGGCGTCTGTATTGGTTGCCTAGTGAGAGTTGATTTTATTTAATATTCATTTTGATTTAGTGTCCTCTTGAAATTTATGTTGAAATTCAAGTCATTTTCAAGCAAGAAAGTTTAGTAATCTATAAAAGTTTATTTTACAAGGATCAGCTGCCGTTATAAGCATTGATTAATTGTGTTTTAAAGCATGATTGTCGAATCTTGTATCTTATAGTATTGACTACTACGTGCATTAAATCTATTAAACATGTTTCCAATAATCGTAAAACTGATTCGACTAAATATATTTTTATCAGTCATTCACTATTTCTTTTTTCTTCTAGTTATGTATGTTATAAATTTTCACCCTACACCAGCGAAAAGTGCCCAAATTAGTTAATTAATTCCTGGTTAATAAATCATAGTTTCCCACGTTACTAATTAAAATGACGTTCCTTATAATTATATTTTGATTAACGAAGAAAAAACACAACAAAACCACGTGACTCCGTCAAACGATGACCTAATTAATAATACCTAGGTCAAGTATTTTGCTAAGTCCTTGTCAACCTAGATGTCAGAAAGATTATCGTGGCCCACTTATCACTACACGTTTGCCTGCAGTCCTCATGTCATTATCAGAGGGTAGTCAAGGGTTAGGTATCAATAAGATACTTACACACCAGTGAACGATACACACATACACAGACACACAGAAACACGGACACACGTATGTATTTATCTATCTGTATAGGTTTACACACTGTTAATGGCTGCTTCTGGGTGTGTAATTTTTTGTTGTTGTAAGGTTTTCACAAACGCATACACTCATACTTACATGCACACACACATGCAAGCACGCACACACACACGCATATATATATATATATATATATATATATATATATATATATATATATATATATATATATATATATATATATATATATATATATTTATATATTTATATATATATATATATATATATATATATATATATATATATATATATATATATATATATATGATACATTTGGACACCCGTTTATTTATTGTCATTGGCTTTAGATTTTTTTCATATGCTATATGTGCACACAATAAAACAACAACAATAACAACAACAACAAAAACCTGATCCATTATCAATGCCCTCAATTTTACTTGATTTATTTCTCTTCCTCAGTAAAACAGCAACAAAAGTACAGACGTGATAACATACGAATCCCAGTTACCTACCTCTACGTCACTGGTCACATGACTCCGCCGTAGCCAATGGAACCAGAGCCAGCCAAGTGCCATCGAGTGTCCCTGGCGTACCTGGAACTGTCCCAGCCCCCCGATGACGTCATCGCCCTGTACGGCAACACCATCGTGGAACTAGACCTCAGCCACAACAAAATATCGTATCCTTCTTGTTTAAAATGTGCGACGTATGTAGCATGTTGGTGTTAGAAGGCGTACATGCACGCTGCTTGATATTTTTGTGTGTGAGAAGACTTGAACAATTTAACAACTAGGCAAAAAACGTTTTTTTTTTACTAAGAGTTAGAAGAAGAATATTCAATTCTAGTATGTAAGAGTGCTCAACAGAATGATATATTTAAACGGTGTATTAATAATAATTACACGTGCTTCCTTCTTGGAAGGCGTGGTCGGATGGTAGAGCGCTTGACTTCTTTCCCAAAAGTCTTAGTTCAGATCCCGGGCTTGAACCCGAAAGACGCCTCAAAATCAACCAAGATTTGATGGGTATCTGACTCACTGTATAGAAAGTAAATTCGGTTAGGGAAAGTATTGACGCGGTATTCCTTTATATGCCAAAGTTACAGAAACACGTGAACTCTACTTCACCTGCGACATGGGTTGCCAAAACTACTTTTTTTTTACTTCTTGGCTCTGATGCTATTTTTACGTCATAGGTTATAATATAAGATTACGGAATTAGCTGCAAGTCCTTGACCTTTACCAGTGACCTTCGATTCCTCCAAAACCTCCCGCGCCTCCAGAGTCTTGTAGTTGACCACAACCACATCTCCTCCCACGTCAAGATTCCACTCTGTCCATATCTGGACACCCTGTGGGTCAACCACAACGACATCCAAAACTTAGGTACGTCCACATTTTAAGACATTCTGGCAAACAATATGTGTATAATAGTGCGGAATATTATTAGTATTTCATAAATTCATAAGCGTTTTTATTAGAAATCGAAAATAGCGTAAATCAATAATTCCGGTCATCGGAAATTACTCCAAATTTGACAGAAGGCAGGGCATTAGAACTGTTACTTACATGTGAAATTTCGTTTATCTATCTGAAATAATACTCAAGTTATAGGATTTTGAAAAATTGAAAGTAGAATAAGTTTCACTTCCGGTTACCGGAAATCGCTGAAAAGTTGATACAGAACTACAAATTTGATATAATAATTATACATGAAATTTCATCAACCTAGCTGTAACGGCACTTAAGTTTTCGTGTTAACAGACATACACACACACATACACACACAGACAGACATAACGGACAAAATTGCAAAACTATGTTTTTCCGACTCGTGGAGGTGTAGCGTTTTTAGGGTTAATAAAAAGTTAAGAATATGGCTAGGCTAAGTTAAATCAGGATTAGAGTAGTTATATGTTATGTTATGTTATATCGCTAGAGCTTAGATCATAGTTAGGGTTCGTGATATGGTCAGTGTTTGGTAAAGTAATATTATACAAGTCAATGTATAAATGAAAATATCATCAACGGCTTATTGATCTAAGTAAAAGAACGACACAGTGTTGTTAAGGATGGGGAATTTGTTACGGTATTAAATATATATTGGGCCTATTTTGACTTAACTGTTGCAGGTTTGCTTATAACGACGGATGCTATAGGTGTTATCACTTGACTGTTGCAGGTTTGTTTATAACGACGGATGCTATAGGTGTTATCACGTGACTGTTGCAGGTTTGTTTATAACGACGGATGCTATAGGTGTTATCACTTGACTGTTGCAGGTTTGTTTATAACGACGGATGCTATAGGTGTTATCACTTGACTGTTGCAGGTTTGTTTATAACGACGGATGCTATAGGTGTTATCACGTGACTGTTGCAGGTTTGTTTATAACGACGGATGCTATAGGTGTTATCACTTGACTGTTGCAGGTTTGTTTATAACGACGGTGGCCAAGAGCTGCCCCAACCTAAGGATACTCTCCATGATGAACAATCAGGCCGCGCCGAGTTTTTTTAACGGCGGGACCTATCAACAGTACCTGGATTACAGGTGATTACACGCACACGCACTCAGGTACTCAAGCACTCACGCACACACACAAACTACACAGGCACACACCCACCCCACACACGCCACGCACACACTACACACATACACAGACACATACACACATACACACACACGCACACAAACACGAACACACATAAACACAGACACATACGAACACACACACACACATTTCACACACAATACACACATATACACAGACACACACTCTTTCTCTCTCTCTATCTCACACACATATTGCCTATATATATATATATATATATATATATATATATATATATATATATACATGGTGACACAACGAACTATTGAACTATTGAAGGAGAAAATCTAAACATGTATTCTTTGTATAAAAAATATTTTATGTGTACATGATCTCACAATGCTCACTAAGGATACCTTATACCCCCCCCCCCCCCCACCCACCGTACTCTTGCTGATTACAGCCTAATTAATTACTCCTCCCGCCTCAGATATTTCGTCATCAGCAGCCTCCCAAAGCTGGAGGTGTTGGATTACACCAATGTGCAGCCGGAAGAGAGAAGTGAAGCCAAACGGATTTATCCAGTATCCATTGTCCAGCCGAAAAAATCGACCAGGAGGAAGCGACACAGCCGCTCATCATAGCAACCGAAACTTTGCGAAAAGTTTGTAAAAACACAAAAATGTACATGTAACTCGAAGATTTTTTATGATATTAACTTTAACTTTCGTGGTATAAACTGGTTTATAATCTTCTGTAAAAAACCAATGTTGGTAATGCAGATGAACATGCAGTTTATACAATACCAATGCTAAATCGCATCACAGTCGTTTTATTGTATTTTTATTGATATTCATCGGAATGCAGTATTTATATTGGTTTGCATTTTTTCCCCATTCTATTGATCAATTTTGTGTGTAATATAGTACTATTGATAACTGTTGACTATTATTGATATTGTATTAATGATGTTGTAAAGGTACAATTAACAAGTTTGGACATTTAATTTAAATTGGTAAGTTACGGCCCCTACTTTGAAGTATCTAGATTCTAGATGTACTGAGAATGGGCTGTTTTATCATACCGTAAAAACAGATACATTTTATGTATGATTACACCATCAAGCCTCATTTTTATAGTGGCTTCGTTTACGCGCTTTTACTGATGTGACATGCCTGTGTGTGGATGGGAGTTTAGCGTGTGGGTAAAGGGTGGTAGTTCGGTGTATGTGTGTGGGGGTGGGTGGGTTTACCAGCTTACTGAGGTCACAATGTCTCTGTGTGGATGGTAGTTTGGTGCGTGGGTGGTAGTTTGGTGTGTGGGTGGTAGTTTGGTGTGTGTGTGTGTGTGTGGGGGGGGGGGGGGGGTTACCAGCTTTTACTGAAGTCACAATATCTGTGTGTTGGTGGTATTTTAGTGGGTGATTTTTAAAAAATCACATCTTGTAAATCCATGTTGTTTTACTTTTAAGGAAACAATTTAGTTCGAGATACATTATAATTTCCGATGACAATGCAAGCATATGTATTTTATAAAGTCATCATCTATTTATTAAACAAAAAATGACACAACTGGAGATACCAGCGATCGTTCGATCAGTTAGGTGATGATGGTAATCGATCAGCTAGATGATGATTGTATTGATCAGCTAGATGACGATGGTAATCGATGGTGAACTATTTGGTCACGGATGTTTTTAACCTGTGAATCGTCCAATTGTGTCAATAAGGGGAGGTAATGATAGTTTTAAGCAAGATTTAAGAATAATATTGTATTTTACGTTGAGTGTCAATTGAATGACAAACTTATGGAAAAAAGAAGCTGTAAAATTTTTTTTAAAGCTTACACTTTGACCAACTATTTCAATTTTTAAAAGTCGTGTTACTTTATTGTGAAAATAAAACAAATGTAAAAACCTTTACGATTACAAGCTTTTAAATGAAACAAAATGAAGAAAAATATTGATTAGATAGTGGATTTTTTTTTTCGTGTTGTTATACAGGTTACAGACCAAATGTTTAAAACAAAGAAATATTAATTTTTTAATTTAATTGTTTTTTTTTATGTGCATTTAAAATCGTGTTATCAAGATTTATATTTGCTTTTTATCAAACACATTCTAAACGAGGTCCCACTAGCTAAAACTAAAACGTATTTAATTACGCGAATTTTAAAAACCTTTTGAACTCGAGCAACGCCAAAAAAAAAAAAAAAGGGCAGACAACATTTGAATAATTAAAGTTGAACTTTTCCCATTATCTCCTAAAGCCTTGTAACGCGTCGTGTAAATTGAATTGCTCTGATCACGTGGGTACTATTTATAGTAGTTGAGCATTTAAACGGAACCAGGCACAGTAAAACAGGGCTATATTTATCTCTAGCTATGGACGAAAAGGGACAGTAACTCTGTCCTCTTGTTTTGAATGGCAACAAGCATCCTTCCTAAAGAGCAGACAACTACTCTTGCGCTCTCTAACCCCGAAGACAAGGAAAGAACAGCAAGGGAGTTAATCCAATTTTTGCAAGAGACATGTCACTCAAACAAGGGGCTTAACTCGGTTAGTTTGTGAAGACCACCACGCAAATCGAGTTACCGTAACTGTGGCTATAAATTTTTGAATTCGGGTCTAGCCCCGCGTTGTGGGGGCACCAATCGCTAGTCGGGTATCCACTGCAGCAAGAAGGAGGGGAACGTAACTGGGGGATAGCATTACAGGACCATGTTGTCTAAGCAGTTAGGGTGGTTTCCCCTTCAGCAGATACTGTACGCGAGGGGAGAATACTCATTTGAATTAGTCATAAATAATGAAGTGTTGTCGGACTTTGGTTAGATGTGCGGCTGATTTGGAAAAAAAACCTGATTGATTTTTTCCTCGTTTTTTCTGTTAAATTTCTTTTTTTTTTTCATTTTAAAGTATTCTGTAGTTTATAAATATTTGTTAGAATAGAGAATAAATGAACGGACTTAAAATTTTTGTAAAATATAAAAACTATAAAATATAAAAAATATATCTAGTCAATTTAAGTCAATGCATTTACAAATCAAAGCATTAATCTCTTACGATTTCGTCAAAAATATGTACATCCTGCTTATTTTAAATGTTGGTTGAATTTGTCAATACATTTTTTTTTAAAACAAAGGACCAAATGTTCATGCACATACTATTATAGTTACTTTTTAGAAATATCTTGCACTCTAAATAGACCTGTCTAAATATCATTATAACAGTTTCTCCTCACGCTACTTACCCTCACAGCACCAACCCTCACACCACAGACCCTCACAGACCCTCACACCACAGACCCTCACAGAACCGACTTTCACAGCACAGACCCTCACACCACAGACCCTCACAGACCCTCACACCACAGACCCTCACACCACGGACCTTCACACCACAGACCCTCACACCACAGACCCTCACACCACAGACCCTCACACCACAGACCCTCACACCACGGATCTTCACACCACAGACCCTCACACCACAGACCCTCACACCACAGACCCTCACACCACAGACCCTCACACCACAGACCCTCACACCACAGACCCTCACAGCACCAACCCTCACACCACAGACCCTCACAGACCCTCACACCACAGACCCTCACAGAACCGACTTTCACACCACAGACCCTCACACCACAGACCCTCACACCACAGACCCTCACACCACAGACCCTCACACCACAGATCCTCACACCACAGACCCTCACACCACAGACCCTCACAGAACCGACCCTCACACCACATCAACTTTTCCTTGTGTGTGAGAGTGTGTGTGTGTGTGTGTGGGGAAGGGGGGTGTTTTCCGTAAGGTTTGATCATTGAAGGGAAAGTTGAAGTCTAAGGAAATTTTATGTAGGATGTTTTATAGGATGGGGGGGGGGGGGGTGGGGGGAATTGTCTATTTAGTGGTTTTTTTTAAAATATATTCACGATCCGCCACCACCAGCCTCTAGCATTTGACCTTTAACCTTTCCGTTTAAAATAGATCTCGAGATTGAAGTGGTGACGTCATTGCCAGATCACTTGGCTATGCCTTGTGGGTGACGACACAGCTGATGGAGGCGTCGGCACGCCCAGTTCGACCTAATTAAATTGGTCTTTGTCTGGGCATCCGCATTTTAAAATAGCTTGACCTACTTTCTTTGACCTTGTTTGTAAATTGAAAACAAATTAATCTAGTCGTGAATTGCTGATACCGATACGTATAAAACGTAACCGTGTCATAGTTATCATAGAAGTAGTGTTAAATCTTGTGTTATGTTATAGATTTATTAAGTAGGTAATAAAAACATAAAGAGCAGCCAAGTACCTGAGCATACGATGGTCGGGTTGGAAATCTGCCTCCCAAGGTTCGAATCCTGTGTTTGCAAACGTACATGTAAGTGTATGCTACGCGTTGAACACACTAATTTCCCATTCCCAGCACATCGAAGGGACTGAAACAAAAGTGTACACCAGAGGCGTAGCGAGCTTCCCAACGCCCGGGGACAAACTTTTCGTTTTGCACCCCCCTCCCCCGTTCAAGATTTCGATTTGCACCCCCCCCTCAAACTTTTGATTTGCACCCCCCTCGAGATTTCGATTTGCACCCCCCTCAAACTTTCGATGTGCACCCCCTTCAACCTTTCAATTTATTTTTCCAACCCATTTTGGCGCCCCCTAATGTCGGCGCCATAGAGCATATTTCCCCCTGCCCCCCCCCCCCTCGCTACGCTACTGGTGTACACGTCTCTTTTAGAATGCATGTATGCGTTAATTATGTTGTTTAAGATTTGACCATATTGACCTACTACCACCATTCCACCTTGACCTACTACCATCATTCCACCTTGACCTCTAGCCAAATAACCGTCAGTTTTCTAAACCCCAATATAGCCTACCATTAAGCCCTTATACTGAGACTGACATTAGATACATTTAGTACAAATTGCAAATTTTCATACTATTTAAATTTGACTAAATGTAATGTTGATTAAAAAAAAAAAACCACCGAAAAAATAAAACAACGGCAAAAAAAACAAACAAACACCAGTTACAAATGAAGGTCTTTCCTTTATGACCTTTTAAAAAACACGCATGCCATAATCCGACAAAAGACACCATACTAATGTTTTGGCGTTTATTTTCTTTTATTAATGTAATCACGTTTCATGGATGGTTAAAATGTTAATGTCAAAATGAAAAGTGTATTTACAAGTGTTCAAATTCACAAATGACAATACACAAAACCTCAGGCAAAAGTTTAGATAAAAATGTACGCATACTCGATGACTTCCATTAATCTCTGTGTTTATTGTCCCGTTACGCTCGTAATAATGAATTCCCCCTTGAACTCTTCTGATTTAAAAACTTGTGAAAAAAGTCATCAATTGTATATGTAGTCTCATGGGCTGCAGTTGTGTAAATAGCCATCAAGACTAAATTTGTTTGATTAGTGTGTCTTGGTTCTCATTGGTCTAAAGCTTATAGAAATATTAGGCAGGTTCTACCCTTGCCCCATATGCCAGTAGCTATCAACAATTGCGCCACTTCACCCAAAGCCATAAGCTTTTGCACGTCTTGTCTAAAACCTTGTTTAAAACCTTGCCGTTTGTCTTCAACATTTGTATCACTTTCCTAAATCCATAGCAATGTCTATAAACTTTTGCATGAATTTCAAAAAAATCGTGCAAATAGCTGTTAAAATGTGCATGAGTATCCTAAAGCCGTGCCATCAACTTGTGCATACCCTTCTTCTAACCGTGCCAATAGCCATCAACTTTTCCTTGAGCTACTCTGACCTAGACGTGTGCGAATAGCCATCAACTTTTCCTTGAGCTACTCTGACCTAGACGTGTGCGAATAGCCATCAACTTTTCCTTGAGCTACTCTGACCTAGACGTGTGCGAATATCCATCTACTTTTCCTTGAGCTACTCTGACGTGTGCGAATAGCCATCAACTTTTCCTTGAGCTACTCTGACCAAGACGTGTGCGAATAGCCACCAGCTGAGTCCTCAGCTCCCGGGCGGACAAATTCAAAGAATCCAGGTCGGCGTTGAGCTGACCTATTTTAGCCACGACGCTCTCTGGGAAGGTCAGGGGAAACAGCAGGCGCTTCAGGACGAGCTTGTTCATGTGCTTGAGGTTTTCCTTGGCATTGAATCCCTCACATAGAGCTCGGACACACCTGGGGAGGGTGAGATGAGGGAGGTTAAAATATGAGGGAGGTCAAAACATGAGGGACATCAAAACATGACATCAAAACATGGCAGTGTTGAGGGAGGTTATAACATGAGGGAGATTAAACATGACAGTATTGAGGGAGATTATTAAAACATGACATCAAAACATGACAGTATTGAGGGAGATTATTAAAACATGACATCAAAACATGACAGTATTGAGGGAGATTATTAAAACATGACATCAAAACATGACAGTATTGAGGGAGATTATTAAAACATGACATCAAAACATGACAATATTGAGGGAGATTAAAACATGACAGTATTGAAGGGAGATCAATCATGACATCAAAACATGACAATATTGAGAGAGATTAAACATGACATCAAAACATGACAGTATTGAGGGAGATTAAAACATGACATCAAAACATGACAGTATTCTAAAACAGTTGATTCCCCAAAAATTTTGACCACAAAATATTTGGGGAGATTTTAGTGGATAATGTTCGTTTTCGAAATTTAGATTTACTTGCTAATTATGATTGTCCTTCATATTTGGGATAATATTAGTACATTAAAAAAAAGATCAACGTTGCTTATGTTGTGAAGGGGACTCACAACCATACAATCAATACTGAAGTTCACTCGGCCACATTTCCAACCTAAACTTAACAGTGATGGTACCTATAAGAACAAAACTCATTCAAGAGCCACCACAGCCCATTACGCTGGTAAGTAAATTAAGAACCGTCGCGGAGAATTTTAAGATAATTTGTCAAGGGAGATTATCTAATGGAGAGTTAACTCCTCTTTAAAACATCGCTTTCTGACATCGGTATATTCATATTGTAACCCGATCCCCTTTTACATTATGTATTTCACAATTTATTTGACATTTTAGATTAATTTGTAACAATATCCCCGCCAATGAAATTTGCGCAAAAATTTATTTAAAAACAAGTTATTTTTACAAAAGAACATTTATTTCAAATTACATTTGTTGATAAAGCACCAATGCACGTCGTAATGAAGTTCATCATGGATTGTAAATAATAGAACAAGACACTGTCTTCTTGACCAGAGGAAAACAAAACCTCATCTTCTGTAATTAACATTCGTCTAATAATTACAACCGGGATGGGAATTCTTGTTTCTCGGGTTGGGAGGAGGGAGAGCGGGTGGTGGTGATGCATGGAGAGGGAGGGGGGTTGGTGGTGGTGATGTGGGGAAGGGGGAGGGGTGGTGAGGAGGGGGGTTGGTGGTGGGGAGGGGGGTTGGTGGTGGTATGGGGGGATGGTGGTGCTGATGTGTTGAGTGGGGAAAATGGGTGTCTTAATATAGGCTGCTCTTTTTCAACGATACAGAAGTAGATCGATAATTTAATACATCAGCTTATTCACAAATTAATGGAAGTACTCGTGTACATGTATTTACTTCTTTAGTTTACTAATATGTTTTTTAGTTTAATAATATGTTTCGTCCACAAGGTTGCATGACTTAGGTTAAAGAAAAGTGGGGAGTAGAACGTGCTGCTTTATACATTTTCATGCCGTAATTACAGAACTTCACATGTCCAGGCCCCGAAAGGGATCTTTCCTTTATATCTACTATAACGTCCAGCTTAGATACAGGATTTAAACCAAAGTTTACTTCTGGGTTATGGATGGACCAGGGTTAGCCAGAGTTTCTTACAGGCATCTCTTTAAGGGTAAGGGGCGGAGGTGCCCCCTGAAACACATCTTCCGCCATACCCACGAACTCAATAGAATTTACATACAAGATATATACTTCAACTAGTATCAACCCACTCACCGGAAATCTACCCCCCCCCCCTTAAGATAAGTTTCAAGTGCCACCTGGAGAAAAAAATGTCTGAAAGAAACACTGTTTAGAGGTGGTGCTATGATTTAGTTTGATTCTTGAGACGAGAGCTGAACCACCAAGGCCGGTGTCAGAGACTTAGATCGACATAGTTTGGTTCATTAGAGGAGCGGATCAATACAAAATGTAAAAGTGGTTGTCAATAAATGACGTGATGTATGGTTAGAAGGGGGGAATGGGGGGCGTACGGTAGTTTGTGACGGTGTGTGATGAGGTTCAGTAGGGCTGCTGGTTCTGGAAATGACTACACTGCCTTTTACAGTCTCTTTCAGGTATCTATTAGGGGGGCTATCCATCGCCCCCCCCCCCCCGGTTGAACATCTACCGGCCCCCCGAACGAAATAGTATTTATATAGAAAATATATATTTTTACCAGTGTCCCCCCCCCCCCCTCCCCGGATAATTAAGTCAGCTGCCCCAGAAATTTCAAGTGACCCCCTCCCCACCCGAAGAAAAAAAGCCAGAAAGAAGCGTGTATTAAGGAAATAACGTGCTATTTTTCATTCAATAAAACATTTCGGAAACTGAAATTTAGAGTATATTTTAAAATTAAGTTTTTTTTTTCAAAATTGTAATAAAAATATTTAAATTTCGACCCAATAGAGTCGTTTAGCAAGAAATGGCTGGTGGGCAAGATCAAAATTTAAAAAAATAATGAGAGGTGTAGGATAAAGTGGGGAGAGGTAGTATGTCATTTTTTGTTACGTTTGGTGATGTGTAAGGTGAAAAAAGGAGGAGGGGGGGGGGGTAAAACATCGATAAAAAAAGTATTATTGACGGCCCAAAGACCTTTTGAATATAGATCTAGAATCTTGATTATCCAGCGGTATTCTATATTGCTGTGTATAAATACTTAGTGTGATTCCTTCTTATATTTGATAATTTATTGTTTTATGATGTTGTTATTTAGAAGCTCATTTACGTTCCAAATCGCCCTGAGATACAAAGTTCAGATCCTGATGTGTTAGAAGGTTTATCATAGGTGTTACGGGTCAGTTGTAGGTCAGATTAGAATAGGTTAGAATAGTCTAGAACTAGGGGAGAGTGCGTGTGTGAGTGGATTTCACCCTACTGTGTAGTTACCCTTGCATGTTTATGTATTGTAATCCCAAGGTCGAATGCGGGTATAAAAGGGCGAGTGAAAGATTGTAGGGGGTCAGTCAGCGGGTTAGTTGCTAGCGATTAGGACGAGGGCTACGCTGGAATGTATTTGAGACGGAATAAAAGTAGCGAACGAAGTCTACACCCAGCAGTTAGCTGGTTACATCACATGCAGTTTTTTTTACCATTAGATTTCATACAAATGTATAGACTCAAATAACAACTGGTATGACTCTTAAAGAATTAAAATCTAGTTCTGTTCTTGAGTTCTCTAGGATGTCCATGAGTGAGCTCAGCTTTAACCAGTACCTGGCTATAAGTGAGGAGTGTAACGGCTGGTGGTTATAACAGTGGTCACATAAACATAAACTCTACTTCCTCTATTATTTGGGCTGACAATTCAGATAGGGATTATGATATGATACTACGTTATATATTGGAGAAATCATTTTCGATCGTGTAGAAATGCCAGATAAAAATCTCACATCAAGCTAAATAAATTCTTGTTTATTTCAAGCATCACGTCTATGTAACAATACCAGTTACATTTCTGTTACGGTTTTGTTACAATACAATACAGCTGTAACATCAATCTTTAATGATGGACATTTTTTTAAACAAAATACATTATCTAGTTAAAGGTCGTTTTTAGAATGTCTGATGCTCATTTAAAAAAAAAACGTAATTTAATATTGATTTCTCTGGCTTGGATGTCTTTTATTAGTATTAATGGAGAGAATACGCGGAAAGACAGATTGTGTTTGTACAATGAGATGTAAAAAAATGTTATCGTGTTTCAGAATGGAGAAATAAATTGAATTTTTTATTCTACTTTGTTTAATTAAATCTATTAGTTCAAATTTTAATACCGTCTGCGCGATAATTAAATATTTAATACGTGTGATATTCATATGATCTTGCCAGCCGACGACAGATTCGTCTCCTGCTACATTCTTCGCTTGTTTTATATATATATATATATATATATATATATATATATATATATATATATATATATATATATATATATATATATGTGTGTGTGTGTGTGTGTCTGTATGTGTAAAGCTGGTCGCTGAGTAGGGAGAGATAATTTCTAGAAGAAGTGAATCACTCTATTAGCGGTAGTATACAAGTGAAATAGATTTGATATACACGTATACTGAAAAATAGATCTTGTGATTATATTGGCACTGTACGTATTAAAACACAACTCCTCTTCAAAAGAAATGAATGCTGTTTCCTTCAGTGTTTCTTCCAGACATTTTTCTCCGGCGGGACACTTGAAACTAAATTTTCGGGGGGGGGGGGGGGGGTCGTCGGGGGGACGGTAAACTTTTTTCGGGCTGAGGGAGGGGGGACGAAGATATGCCTGGAAGAAACTGGTTTCCTACCTCAGATTGTACGGGCAAGGGTTTTCTTTGTTGTCCATGGCGTCGCACTCGGGTTCAAGGTTATTGACATCGTCAAGGTCGATGAGCTTGAGGCTGTCGTTGACCATGACGAGGTGCCCCTCCTTGAAGTCCGGCACGATGAGTGACCCGAGGGGGGAGTGCTGGAGGTAGTCCAGGAGCTCGGCCATCTCGATGGCGTGACGTAATCGTGTTTGCCAGGGGAGGATCTGTGGAGGGCAGAGAATATTGTATTGGTAGAGGGCAGATAATATTGTGCTGGTAGAGGGCAGATAATATTCAGGCAGGCAGAGGGCAGATATAATTGTATTTGTAGAGGGCAGAAAATATTCAGACTGGCAGAGGGCAGAGAATATGTATGTAGGTAGGGGCAGATAATATTTTTTTTAGTCGAGGGCATAAGAAAATATAAGAATGGCAGAGAGTAGAGAACATCAGGTAGACAGAGTGCATTATATAGGCTGTGTTGGTAGAGGGCAGATAAAATTATAATATTATGTATGTTGTGGGCAGATAATGTTGAGTTGGCTGTGGGCATATAATATTGTGCAGGCAGAGGCAGAGAAGATCAAGCTAGTAGAGGACAGAAAATATAGATATCAGAATATATCGTCAGCGGACAGAAATTTCGGGTTGTCGAAAGACAAGAGAATCACAAATGTAAAAAATAATTGAGCTTATACACGTCATGAAGACCTACAATCTGTTTCACAAAGACTCAAATAAAAAAAACCGCAGAAAAAGAAATTATTACACATCTTGTTGGTAATTAAAAACTTCGTTCAGAAAAAAAAATAAAACCAAATGTTGAAGAAAAACAAAACAGGGCTTGCAACACAGTCGAGATCTTTACAGCTGGTGATTTAATGAAAAAACAAAAACAAACATGATTAAAACGTAATGATAAGTTTCTCTAATTAAGATCACTGCAATCTGCAAAATTAAATTTATGTAAACCATTGCTACATAACATTTCCATAAGAAAATAAATGATACAAAAACTTGAATTTAACATAGGTAATGTGACATAACAACACATTTAGGATTTTTAAATTAAAATTATACCGGAAAGATTCTTAAAACGCTTCATTGCCTTCTTATATTGCTTGGCATTATATATATATATATATATATATATATATATATATATATATATATATATATATATATATATATATATATATATATATATATATATATATTAGGTACTTTTAAAAAAAATTATCAAGTAGTAATAGACGAAAAATTTACATTTTTCTCGAAGTACTGCCTACCACCAAACATGCCCCGCTAGATCTATGTTTAATTTCCCTGTGTTGAGAGATAATAGCGTGTAGTAAGTAAATCCTCATTAACATTCATTTATTAGGCTTCTGTTATCTACAACTGTCACCATTTTCTCTTGCGGTTAAAAAACTCATTAATAAATACAGTATCTACCATATAAGTTATGTGACACGGTGTAAGTGTCGCAGTATACTGCTCTGTTTTTTAAGCACTGACTGTTGTACTCAGTAAGAAAATTTAAAAACTTAGTAGCTAATGATTGTTTGTAAACAACGTTCCAAAGATCATGAAAAAAAACCCTCTTAAAAAACGGTTATTGATTTGTTTATTTACTGGCGGATATGCAACAGAGATAAATACATGAAAACCTTCAGTTAATAGATTCATTATTGTATATAAAGCACATCATTTTTTTGCTTGAAAAACTGTATTCGTCTTCTATTCACAATTGTTAAAGTAACATTTATTTTTCTAATAAAAGATCCGCAGTGAATAGACTTGTAAACACAAGCCAGAGGACAATTTATTTTCCTCTTCTTATAAGTCCTTTTATGCGTCTTTCATAAAAGGACAACTAGATTTTTTTACATATCTAAATTTTTGATAAGTTCACATTGACCGCATGGTAGTACAAATGTGATGTTCCATACCGGTACTTTGTTACTATGTTACAAAAATATTGTGTTCAAGGTACAAAATGCTGTACCAAAACGTACAAAAGCACCGTGTTCAAGGTACAAAACTTAGCCAATACGGTACAAAAGCTCCGGGTTATTGTGGTATAAAAGCGCCGTACCGACACAATACAAAAAAAGCCGTCTACAATGTACAAAACACAGAGCTAACACGGTACAAAAGCGCCGTGTTTTTGTAATACAAATGCGCTGTCTACTTTGGTACACTAGCGTCGACGCAATACCAAAGCCCCGTCTTCAAGCAACAAAACACAGCGCCAACACGGTACAAAAACCCCGTGCTAACCCAAGTCCCAAGCGTTGTGCAAACAGTCAGCCAACAGAACTAACGACCCTGTCCCGTCCTTAAAAAAAAACAATATCCCACATCTTCTCATTGTCCTGACAAAAACCATGTCCCGTTTTTTATGGATCTAAAGTTTCCGTTGTGTAGACATTCTACACTTTAGAATAGCCTGTAGCAGAGGCGTAGCGGGGGGAGGGGGGGGGGCGGGGGATGCGGTCCGCACCGGGTGACACCATTTAGGGGGGTGACACCAAGACAAAAAATAGTAAAATATATAGAGAAAAATTTGAGGGGGGGGGGGGGTGCAAATCGAAAGTTTGAGGGGGGGGGTGCAAATCGAAAGTTCGAGGGGGGGGGGGAGGGTGCAAATCGAAAATTGAAAGTTTGTCTCGAGGAATAGTCGCTACGCCTCTGAAGGGGTGACACCATTAAGTGCCGCACTGGTAGACACCCGACCTCGCTACGCCACTGGCCTGTAGCCAGATTTTATATTTAGAATGTTTTGTGAAATACCCGTATTTAACTCTAGAAGTAGCGAAACACCAGTATTTAACACTAGAAAGTAGCGAAACACCAGAATTTAACTCTAGACTGATTAGTCAAACAACGGAATTTAACACTAGAAGCAGAGCGTAGCTTCACGATAGGTACTTACGCTAGATTGTAACGATGCTTCAGAATTTAAGGCTTAAATGTAAATTCCACCACACATCACAACTATTCACATAATAATAGGAAGTGGAAACATTTTTCACACGTGAATGTTCACCCCCCCCCCCCGACCACCAAATAAAAAATACATAAATAAAAAAAAAGTAAAAATAATAATCAACTAAAACACACTGATAGTTTTCCACAGTTAAATTTTTTGTAGAAAATGAAAATTATTGAGTCTAGCCAGTGGCGTAGCTACCGTAAAGCTAGCGTAAGCAAGGCATAGGGGCCCAAGGCAAATAGGGGCCCTTTTTCAAAAGTTGGAGGGGGTGGGGGGTTCAAATCGAAAGTCTGATGGGGGGGGGGGGTGCAAATAAAAAATTTGCCCCCGGTCGCCGGGAAGGTTTCTACGCCTCTGAGGGGCCCACTAACACTTTTTGCATAGGGGCCCTTAAAATCCTAGCTACCCCACTGAGTCTAGCTCAACTAAGACTAGCAGTTTTTCTGTTTACTGGCAGTAATATACAATTCAGACATTTCTATAAATTTTTCCAAACTAAACTTGCCCTACATGGAGAATTATGGTGATAAAAAAATCTACTGACACAAACAAATGAATAAAGCCAGATTTATATAGATCTAATACATAAAAATTACAACCTATTCTTAACATACAGTGGACATTTCGTCTATGGAAATAAAAAATATAATTAGACAATAACAGACAAGGGTAGACAGATCTAGTATATTACATAGCGGTCATCCATTTATGACGTACACACATTTTATGGATTTTGGACCCCCCCCCCCCCACGTCCACAAAAATCCACATAATTCCCTATTAAAAGTCCACACGCATCGGCAAAAGTTTTTTTTTTTCGGACACCCCCCTCCCCCTCCTCCGTGTGGGCGTCATAAATGGATGACCCCATATGAATTAAATACGGTTTTCTGAACTCTGGTTTTCTGAAATGAAATTATGTGATCGCTAGACACCAACATAGACGTAAAGACTAAATCCATATGTTACATGTAAATGTAAACCACAGGTTAACATACAGGAAAACTATCATCTGAAATAAAAACAAGTTATCCTTATACCCAAATGAGTAGTTGCACACAATCACATACAATAAGCCATACATTACCTTCAAGTTATCGTTAGCCACAAATGAGTAGTTGTACACAATCAAATACAGAAAGCCATACATTACCTGTAAATTATCGAGAACGAAGCGAGAACCCAGTTCGTACACGCTAATGACCCCGTGTTCCGATATATCCGTCGAGTCGGATTCCTCGCTCCGCAGACAATAGCCGAGCAGGCTGACGAGATTACGGTGCTGCAGCTGTTCCGAGAGCAGTATCTCCTTCATCAACCTTGCTGTGGGGTAGGTGTAACAGCGCTGGCGTTCTCCCTGGGTTATTTCCACGGCCGGGGAATCGTTAATGACAGGATTCGATGACGTGTGATGCGTCTCTTTATAATTCTGTTCGTGGTTGTTGTCGTGATATTGTAAAGGTTTGAATGCAGTGTTATGTTGAGATGATTTATGGTTAGATTGGTTTGTTTTGTCGTTGTGATTCACAGAAAATGCGGGCGTGGAGAGTTTATTTTGGGAGAAAACTTGCTGAGCGATTTTCATTTGTTTTATTTGATCGAGACAAGTCCGAACTTCGTGGATATGCCGCGTTACCATCTTGATAGCAAACTGTAATCCGGAAAATTCCGCAGTAAACGCCTGCTTGGATACGCCGTGTCCGATTTTATTTCTGATTTTCATCCGAGATATGGAGGAGCAGTTGAATAGCAAGGCCGGCCGGAAACCTCCCTCGTGACGTAAGCGATCTATTTTTGACATTTCGGGTCGCTTGTGTGGAGAGTTATGAGCGCCACGCGACAACGCGTGAGTATCCGCCGCGTTTAACAGCTTCCGGAAATCTACCGAATTCTGTAAAAAATCGTTCTGCGACATGTAGTGTAGCCCTTTGCCCGCCTGCATAGTGTTGACAAGGCTCAGGTATTTCTTCTTGTATTCGATGTTGTCGGGGTCGGGTTTAAAACACACCTGGCCGATAGCGGAAAACATAAGCAGTAAATATCCGACTGCCGGAAAGGTCAAGGCTATGAAAGTCAGGTATTTTTTCTTTAGAAACATACTGACCTCCGGCTTGAGGCGGAGAATTTTTAATGTTTTAATTCAAAGCGTTTTTAAAGTGAATTTTTGTGGTATTGAATCGCATCATTCTGCGATGTCTTGCAGGGGGAAGTAATTTCAGAAAAAAATATTTGTCTGAGCTATTGATCTCCCTTGAGTATTGATTCATAAGCTAGTAGAAGAAAAAAAAATATCTATGAATAAATGGTGAAGACACGTAAAAATATGTATCAACATTGTGTTCATCAATTTAATATATCTTGAACCAAAACAAAGTAATTTTCAATGCAGTCATTTTAGAGAAAGATGTGCAATATAGAGCAGATTTAAAAAAAAAAGACTTTTTAAATTAAGTCTTAATAGTAAACGAAATTAGCTTTATTTACTAAATAAAAATAAATAGTCACAAAAAAAAATATTTAAATCTATTTTCACAAGTAGTTTGTGCTTTTTGTTGGCCAACAAAGCAATATATTTTAAATTACGTCTATGTTTTAGTTTAATGAATAAATTAATGAGTTAATTATATTATATTAGAAAAGTAAAGGTACATTAGTCTTTCTCAAATATGTATATATATATATATATATATATATATATATATATATATATATATATATATATATATATATTTATACATACACACACACACACACACACACACACACACACATATATATATATATATATATATATATATATATATATATATATATATATATATATATATATATATATATATATAATATATATATATATATATATATATATATATATATATATATATATATGTATATATATATGTTTATACATACATACATATATATATATACAGATATATATATATATATATATATATATATATATATATATATATATATATATACAAACCGCTAGAAAGCTACAAAATATCCATATATATATATATATATATATGTTTGTATATATATATATATATATATATATATATATATATATATATGTTTATAAATACATACATATATATATATATATATATATATATATATATATATATATATATATATATATATATATATATATATGTGTGTGTGTGTGTGTGTGTGTATGTATGTATAAACATATATATATATATATACATATATATATATATATATATATATATATATATATATATATATATATATATATATATATATATATATATATATATATATATATATATATATATATATATATATATATATATATATACATGTCTACATACCGCTAGAAAGCTACAAAATCTCCATCTAGTTCCTACATGCTTAGAAGCCTGAAGAAAAATCTTCCAGAAAACACGGCAATCAGCTCACAGAGAAATGCTTTTATTCCAAATGAATGGCCCTCGAAGAGTATTGGGCCTATGTCACCAGCTTTAGAGGGCACCTGTCGCACTGCCAGGGGACAGCATTCCCAAAGAATCAATGAGATAATGAGTAATTTCCCCTGTGACAGCACGTGCGAGGAGGCCGGCCGACCGGCGACTGGTGGTGGGAGTGTAGCCGGACCCGGCTGGCTGCGAGATAGTGGGACCTAACGGGACCGGTAGTGGGATTTGTGACGTGGTGCTACTCACCAATGGCTTAGCGTCACAGCAAAGGCAAGTAGTGAGAGCATAGACGCTGCACTGTTTTATTACAAAACAAACGTCAAGTTATTGAAACAGTTTATACAAGTCCTTGTATTGTACTCATCATTGTAAATTAAGTATACTACAACGACTAGAATTGAATTGTTTAGTTCTATTATAATAATTAAATATTTCATTTAAAACATTACATTGCTACTTTAAAAAAAACTTCCTTTAATTATATGTCTAGTGCTACAATTAAATAATTAACAATGAAACTCCCCATTTGTAGAAAGAATTGATCCTAAAAATACATTTTCGTTATACTTAATTGTATTGGAGAGGATCCCTACGAACACTAAAAATTAAGAAGAAGAAGAAGTTATACGTTTCCTTATACACCTTGATCTTTTAAACTATGTCAATTTTTTCATACCCTAAACCCTAAACGAAACACAACGTTTCCGTTACCCGTTACGTAAAGTTCACTTTACGACTCCATGGGATTAACGAAATAGTTATCAACAATTTTCCGACCTAGAGATATGAAGAGATTAGGATTAGATTTAGGTAACACTATTTTAAGCAGCTTAATCGAGTTTAGTTTTAGAAACATAATCGATTTCCCGCGTCCATGTAAACAACACGGATTAATCAAGAGTTAAGATGTTTACCTAAACTTTCTAAACCCCAAACCATAAAATGAATTGTGAGGAAGGGGGGAGAAGATTGCTTTCTTTTAGAAACTCATCATTCAAAACGCTATAATCTCACGATAAATCACAAAACTGCACAGTGTTATTAATTATGTACACAATTATTTCCCAGCTCTAATTGTTTGCTATTTTTACCCCCGGTTTCTAATTACTCACGTTGTGTGCCCCACTTTCACCTACCCACATCTTCCTAGACAGCCCCCACACAACACCACACACACACTCCCACACACATGTCCCTAGTCAACAACACACAACACCACACACACCCACACACATGTCCCTATTCAACACCACATAACACCACACACACTCTCACACACATGTCCCTAGTTAACACCACACAACACCACACACACTCCCACACACATATCCCTAGTCAACACAACACAACACCACACACACTCCCTCACACATGTCCCTTGTCAACAACACACAACACCACACACACTCCCACACACATATCCCTTGTCAACACCACACAACACCACACACACTCCCTCACACATGTCCCTTGTCAACACCACACAACACCACACACACTCCCACACGCTTATCCCTTGTCAACACCACACAAACCACACACACTCCCTCACACATGTCCCTTTTCAACACCACACCACACAACACCACACACACTCCCACATACATGTCCCTATTCAACACCACAGAACACCACACACACTCTCACACACATGTCCCTAGTTAACACCACACACCATATTCCCACACACTTCTCGCTTGCGAACACCACACGACACCACACATCCACACATTTCTTCCTAGCTAACACCACACAGCATCACACTTCCATCAACATATCTGTATCCCACCACCACACTCCCACACACGTATCCTTAGCCAACACCTCCACACAACATCCCATTATCATTACACCACCTTCCATTATTCTATTACAAATTTACAACATATTCAATCACCGCTCTCCCCACACAACCCCCTCACCTCTTCGCCTTCTCATCACCCTCCCTCCCCCTCTATACTCATACACATAACCACCCGATCATCCCCACCCCTCGACACCCCCACCTCTCCATCACCCCTCACTACCCCTCCAATCCCCCTCCCCTCCCTATATGGATTATTCTAATCCTCCTGAGCTAAGCCTCACATGAAACTCACCAAATCAATAAAAATAAACAATAATACTGGCCAACGTTTGCACAAATACTATATGACGTTTTGTATACCCCAAAGGCATATCAGATCACAAGCCACAAAAACGGAACATTGTATTATTGTACTAAAAAAACCTATTGATTTTGTTGAAATTTTTTCTCTTTAAAAAATAAAAGAAATACGTAGTAATCAAATACCACTCAAATGATTACTTTATGTTTTGTGGCTTTTAAAGTCACTAAAATGAAGCTTCGGTTTTAGAGGATTTTTATACTAACTTATCGTTCAAAATATTAATACGGTTTTTATCGGAATATTGTTTATTTGGTTCTTTTTCAATAGCGCGCCAATATATAAAATAAAATGTCTTGCATTTTAAACTATAACGAACTAAAACTTGGTATGTAATGTAAAACCTTCGGCTAATGGCTTGTACACACAGACCAACACCGATCTATGACTTAGCTTCGAACTTTTCGCTGTTAAATTTACGGCAAATTTCATGGGTTAGAAACTGGCTATCATGCATGTAATAAAAGCCCACCCCCCCACCCCACAACAAACGAAATGAAATTTATATAGAAAATAAAATATATTTATTTAACAGTGTCCACCCCCGAAAATTTAAGTCCGCCCCCCCCCCCCCCCCCCGAAAATTTCAAGTGCTCCCCTCCCGGAGAAAAATGTCTGGAAGAAATACTGTTGCTGACAGCTCCCCCGGAATTAGGCCTATACAAGTTTGGCCATCTGTAGCCTGCGCGATTCGTTGTTATTATTATTAATGTTATTATTATCCTACTATGGGGATTTTACTTACTTTTGTGCCTGTGAATATAGTTAGGGTTTGATAGAGTTTTACACCATTAAAAAATGTTTAACCATACATCTTAAAACATGGATAAAGCCACTTCATTAATTATTCATTCCGTCTTTTTACCATCATAGAGTAACGCTCAGACGGCAATGTACATTAAGTGATCATACCGTAAATTGAGAAAAAAATTGGACCACTTTGTTTCCTGAACCCGATGGCCTTATAAAAATGATATTAGCAATATAGGGTACCCACTCTCATAAAAAACGGTATTTTGGAACCCGATAAAAATACAGAAAGGAGCCATAAGGGTACCCACTCACATAAAAATGAGCCGTATAGGGTACCCACTAGAATGAAATGCTGTATTTTATAACCCGGTGGTACAAAATGAGCCACGCGGGGTACCCTCTCCCATAAAAATGAGCTATGCGGGGAACCC